ATATATACACATAGAGAGAGAGAGAGACATCCACAAACACAAAAAAACATCATTGTCGCATTTACACAAACACGAAACAACAAACAACACATGTGTATACACACACACATATATATATATATATATATGCATGCAACACATGTGTAGATAGATAGATAGATAGATAGATAGATAGGTAGGTAGGTAGGTAGATATATATATATATGTAGATACACACACAGGTATGTATGAATATGAATCTAAAAATGAATATGAACATGAATATGTGTATGCATGCATGTATGCATATACTTATGTGTGAGTGCAGATCAACAGGTAGGCAGGTAGGCAGGTAGGCAGGTCGGTAGGTCGGTCGGTCCGTCGGTCGGTAGGTAGGTAACTGATGCATGCGTGCTTGTAGATATGTAGGTGTGCATGTATGTATGCAGTATTTAGGCTTGGATGTACGGTTGCATGCATGATTATGTACAAATATGTATGCATGCATACATGCAGGTAGCTGTGTATGTGAATGCCTGCTGCATACCATCGGCGTGGCACTATGCACACAAGGATATAGACATGTCCATGTACATGCAGATGTACAGATCTATGTAATTAAATCTAACATTCGTAGTCTCCGCTGTTGCTCATCAGCATACTTGTGTTGGAGGGTGGGGGGAGGGGGGGCGTCGCTGTTCTGAAGTATGGGCCCAACGTGTCAATATAATCGACAAGGAGTGGTGGGAACGTCAAGACTGAGAGTAATCCTCAAGAAGCCTAAGAAGCACGCTTTATTCTTAGGGTTGTGAGTGCCCCCGAGGGCAAGTAGTTTAAGTTTTTCCAGAAAGATTTAAGCCTACACAGTAAAGACTTCAAACTCCGCATCGTTCATAGAAATCCAAAAAGCTTCCTTGCTCCCTAAACCCCAAACCCTGGGCTTGCAAGCCCCTAAAGCCCCTCACCAAACTATGAATCCCTGAAATATGTGATCTGCGAAGTTAAGAGTAATCACGACACTCATGGTGTTTATCTTGTATTACTCCTTGGCTCTTTGATGTTTGGTATTCTGACAGCAACAGCATGCCCGCAACCGCGGTCATGACACAAACACTGACAAGAATGCATAAAAAATGCTACCACAAACAACAGTAAGGATAGAACAAGTTGCTGACACGTATTGTAGTAGTTGTAACCGAAAGGAAGACCAGTAAACCGAGCAAGAGTGACAGTAAGTCGCAAAACAAAAAAGAGGTTGACGTAGCCGACATCATCAGAGTTTACTTCTCCTAAACCCTAAACCTAAACCCTCGGGCGGACGGCCTGCTCCAGCATTTCCTGTGACAAGAGCGATGAAGACTGAAGCTCGAGAGATGCAGCGGTAGGGTTTAGGGGTTTGGGGGGTT